CGTCGCATTGCCCATACCATAAGACCAATCGAAGCGATTGATAATGCAAAAAGTGGAGAAAACACAATTATCCAGTGAAGCTCAAAGTAATCACGAAAAACAGCTGATAGCTCCAACTGAAAAGAATAATGGAAAGAAACGTGAGAAGGGATAAGATTCAAAAAAATCAACCTTGCAATATGTCATTAAGGCGAAAAGGAAGAGAAAAGAATGTTCCACGGTTGTTAACTGCATGGCCGTGAAATCAACACGTAATGTCACATCATTTCTGAGTTGAGAAGAAAATCAGGAACATGAAGCAAACAAAACAACTTGACAATAAAACCTACTGAGATGGTGGGTGCATTAAGAACGATATAACTCCAACCACAGCACCAGCGAAAATTAAAAAGTTATAAAGCCAAATTGGCAGGAATACGATTGCATATCCAACTCCAATTTTATTGTCCAGTTTCAGAGAAAGCAAGAGGACGAAGAAGAGCAGACTTAGATAAGTCACAAACTTACTAAAAATAAAAACTAACACTAACGAACGTACATAAGATGAAAGTTTACAAAGAGCATTTACCAAGCATTGAATCCGCGGAAAAGGAAGCCAAGGCTCACTTCAAACATCTTCAATGGCCCTAAATCAAAGATAATAAAAGCATTTGTAGGCTATGCATTGAAATCAGCCTTAATAAGAAGCTCCAAGAAAAGGAATGAGATCTACAAGTGTGAAGATAAGTGGTTTGAAATGAAATATTATGCTAACTTGCTCTTATCGATATTTGGAGATTCCTTACAGATTTTTATATATAGGTCTTTGAAAACGATTACAAGAAGAGCCGGTGAAGGATAAACTGCTACCTAAATGAGCGAACAGCAGTTAAAGGGGGAGTCAGTTCTTAAGGGGGAAGAAGAAATAAGGGCTAAACTTGGAAGAAGTGACAATAGCTACAATAATTACAAGAAAACAACCTTGCTAGAGCTACATATGCGAATCCGCATCCCCAGTCAATGATGCTCCCTCACGTTCTGAGGCTTACTTATACTCAAGAGTTTTACACTATAAATTCCTACCGCTTTGAGCTTTCTTCTCTAGAGCTACGTTAAGATGCTTTTGGTATAAAATCCCTCAAAAATTTTTGATATCACATTTGATCGGACCCCAGTTTTAACCATTGATCTTCAAGTTGATGATACAGCAACTGGCTGAAAAGTTGGAATCACGAAGAAAAAATTACATTTCTGGCTGTTTTCTTACTCAAGCTGCAGTCCCGCTTAACTTAACTTGCTTAAA